ATTTTTTAACATTAATATTTCCAAAAGTAAATTTTATAAAAAAACTATCCATTATACAATTTATAACAAAATTTTGGTTTCACCCTAATAAATATACACGTACTTATAATTATAAAAGTGATCTAACCTAAGTGAAAATTTAAATAAAAAAAAAAAGAAATAAGTTAACATCAATCATCTCCTCATATCACATTACTATTAAATACAATAAATTCAATGTAATTTTCACGCGATATATTACTTTTCACAAATGTACCGTTAAATAGTGTTAGTTATTTCAATATTATATTATATAGAATTCATTTAATGTTCAAATGGTAATCCTTTAAATTCCCTTCCTCCTCAAAAAAAAAAAACTAAGAGATATATGACTTAGACCACTTTCATAATTATGGGCACATATTTTATTTTGTTAGCTTTTCTTCCCTCCTTCCCTTCCTTCCCAACCCTTGTCTGCCTGCCTGCCTGCCTGCCTGCTTGCTTGCTTGCCCGCTGTTTTATACGCATCACTACTTTAACTTCTTTTCTTTATTTCCTTCTATCTTCTTACCCCCTATGCCGTAGGTAACTCGCTCAACTTAGCGAGACGAAAGAGAAAAAAAAAAAAAGAGAAAAAAGGAAAAAAAAAAAAATAACTGCAAGCAGCCAAGCAACCTCCTCCTCTCCCAACGTTTATCCCTTCTTGAAAATTCTCTTGAGATCTAAAGTGTCTCGAACACTACCAACCAGATAGAAGAGAGAATGTATGTAGTATATATGTGCGTGATAGTGAAAGAGAGAGAGAGAGAGAGAGAGAGATAGAAATAAAGAAAGAAAGAAAGAAAGAAAGAAAGAAAGAAAGAAAGTGCTTTTGACCTCGTATTCTCTTCTTCCGCTACGGTGTTTTACATGTACATGCTTTTTATGGGCTAATTTTTAAATCCACCTCAAAGTTTACATTGAATTTTAATTCAGTTCTTCTCGGTGTTTCTATATATTTCTATCTCCCTCTTTCACTTTGGTCATGTTAATGATAATAATATTAACGCATACACACATTTTGGACATCGCACGTATGCAGTTCTGTGTCAATTAGGCTAATTCCCAGTGTGAGAGGAACTCTGGAAGACAGCCGTCTCGTATAACTGTATTGAATTTGCAATAGGATACGTGGATCTTCGATTTAATCAAATACCATTTGGATATATATATATGTTACCGTCAAAGCCGATAATCAGTCATTGCTGGTAATTCCTCGACATTACTATGAATGCAAAGAGCCTTCAGACGAAGTCGGAAATTGAAAAATTCTTCCACTTTTTCCTAGGCATCGAACATAATACTTTGATATTCTATAGAATATCAAATTACTATTTAAACAACGTTGAAAAAAATACATTTTCAGGCACAGACACATACAGCCATACGCAACCCCTCCCCCCACAAAACAACCCATACAGGTAAAGAATATTTCGTTTTAAACCTGTGTATCTTCCGATACGATAGGGAACAAAATATACAGATTTCCGTGGAAATCTCTATGAATATCTGTCTAGCTAATGTCTAGAAAATAATATAAAGGGTGCACTTTAATTTAATATAAGAGTCATTAAAATCTATTCACTTCTAGTATAAAAAATATTTACAGAAACTTTTCAAAGAAACATCAGAAATTGCAATGCTGTAAATTGTACAATTTTGCTATTTCTTTGAAAAGTTTCGGTAAATATATTTTATACTTATAATAAATAGATTTTAATGACTCTTATATTAAAAAAAAAAAATACGCTCTTTTGTCTACGAATAGAATACTTTGTCGAGTTATAAATTGATCTGCAAAGGTTCAAAAGATGTCAGAGAATACAATGCTGTAAATTGTGCATCTTTGCAATTTCTTTGAAAAGTTTTGGTAAATATTTTTTATACTAAAAGTAAATAGATTTTAATAAAACTTATATTAAATTTAAGTACACTCTTTTGTCTACGCGTAGAATACCATATCGAGTTATAAATTTAGCATTTAAAGTTCAGAAAATGGCAAAGAATGCAATGCTGTAAATTGTGCATCTTTGCAATTTCTTTGAAAAGTTTTGGTAACTATTTTTTATACTAAAACTAAATAGATTTTAATAATTTTTATATTAAATTAAAGTACTCTCTTTTCTGTACGCGTAGAATACCATATCGAGTTATAAATTAATCTGCAAAGGTTCAAACAATGTCAGAGAATGCAATGCAGTAAATTGTGCATCTTTGCAATTTTTTTGAAAAGTTTCGGTAAATAATCTTTATACTAAAAGTAAATAGATTTTAATGACTCCTACATTAAATTAAAGTACACCCTTTTTCCTACTTGTAAAATAACTTATCGAGTTATAAATTGATTTGCAAAGGTTCATAAAATGTCAGAGAATGCAATGCTTTAAATTGTGCATCTTTGCAATTTCTTTGAAAAGTTTTGGTAAATATTTTTTATACTAAAAGTAAATAGATTTTAATAATTTTTATATTGAATTAAAGTACACCCTTTGTAAAATACCTTATCGAGTTATAAATTGATTTGCAAAGGTTCAGGCTATATTTTCTAGACATTAGTTGGATAGATATTCATAGAGATTTCCACGGAAATCTGTATATTTTGTTCCTTATCGTATCGGAAGATACACAGGTTTAGAACAAACTTGGGTTGTTTTGGGTGGGAGGGGTTGCGTATGACTGTGTGTGTCTATGCCTGAGAATGTATTCTTTTCAACGTTGTCTAAATAGTAATTTGATATTTTATAGAATATCAAAGTATTATGTTCGATGCCTAGGAAAAACTGGAAGAATTTTTCAATTTCTGACTTCGCTTGAAGGCTCTTTGCATTCATAGTAATGCCGAGGAATTACTAGCAATGTCTGATTTCCGGCTTTGATGGTAACATATATAGATATATGTATTCAAAGAGAAATTGTTATTTATCGATATTATGTGTCCAAAGAGAATATTACTGATCGATATATTATCGTCTCTATTTTTATTTTTTACTTTTTCTTTTTTTTTCTTTTAAATCGAGCAACGTGAATTTTTGATAAAGCACTCAAAGTCTTCGATCAACGAACGAACGAACAAAATATTCTTGGGTGAAAGGTTGTAATATTAATGAGACGTGTATGTGTGAGAGTATTAGATAAATCGATCTCAACGATTGAACAAAAAAATAGTATAGGAAAATGTTTCTAGTATCCAGTTAGTAATATGCCTGGTTATGGTTGTGTGAAATCAGGTAAAATGTTGGAAGATTGTAGAATTTGTCTAGGTGTGTGTATTATGTATTTATGAAATATGTTGATCTCTAAACTGATAATGATATATGCATTTGTTTATAGATGTTTGCATGTGTTACTCGTGAAAGATCGATATTGGATAATGTTTAGATTCGCATAATCGTTTTTGGTATATGTATGAAATATTAATGTATAAAAATAAACTCAAATGATTGGTCTTTCACTGATGTATTTGATATTTGTCGACAAACGAACATCTAAATTTTGACATTATCGAATTTCGGTATTTCATAGTAACATGTATATATTAATAATGCGAATGAGATTAGGGAAGTTTTGAATAGACCAACAAAGGGAGAAAACGGAGAGTAAAATAGAGGATTCTCGAGTTAACAAACTTCACAGTATAGTAGTTTCGAAAGTATTGTATTTTAACACTAAATTGTTGAAACTAATCAAAATTCGAGATTCATTTGCGATTTTATTCTTATATATTTGGAAAAATTTTAATCAATTTTTTCGTAGAATTATCAAATTTATACGAATATTAATTCATTTCTCATTCTCGTCTTGTAATTTTTTTCAAAAATCCATAAATGTTAATCCTTTGAGACACCGGAATTCAATAAAATAAAAAGTTCCCACGTTGGATAGAAATTTGATATCCTTTCGAATTTGTACAAAGTTCGTTTATTTTTATCAACGAGTAATTCTTTGCCACATTGTATTAACACCGATTTTACGCGTTAAACATTTCATTCAGGCCGCGCGTACCACCGGTGGTACACGCTGTGACATATTTATTTAATGCGTTGAAATGTCAAATGGCTTTGAATGCAAAATCTAGGAAAAACGGTTGAACACGGAACGCGTTAAATAAAGAAATAAAAATAACAATAATAATAATAATAATAATAATAATAATAATAACTTGATTAAGTTTTCAGTTATAGGATGAGACTCAAATAGTTCCACCATGTATATTTACGGATCCGAAAAAGTGTTGGACATTTTTGATACACTAAGAATTAAACCAACATGATTTAGAATCTTTTATATTGTTAATACTTTATTTAATGTATTAATATTATAAGAATAATTTATTTATTCGAAATTTTTTGGGAAATTTCTTTAGTTCACGCGTTAGAATTACGAAAAATATCGTATAATATCTTTTGCCACAAACAGTTTACACACGGTTATGCAGACGTAAGTAAGCATTCTCCCTTCTAAAGGGAAAACACGTTGAAAGGTAGGATGGTGCATCCATCCACCCTTCGAGCTCCTTAACTTTGCCCAGATACGATGCAGAAATGGATCATGATTATTCATGGTGAACGTGCACCGGCATCGACGAGAGATTCTCGATGCATTACGTCATTGAATCTTCGGGGTAGGAAAACTAACAGCTCGATGGAAGAGCCAGGGATTGAGAGAAAAAGACACACACACACACACATATACAGAAAGAGAGAAAGAGAGAGAGAGAGGGAGAGAATGCAAGATCCGAGAACAAAGGTTTAATCCGATAGATGTTTCTTCTGTTAAAAAACAAAAGAAAATAAACGAGTAAAATTATTTATGCACTAATCTAATGTAGTTAGAAGTAATTCAATTAATTGTTTATCACGACCAATCAAAAATTAATAATAAATATATATATCACAGAAGGAAAAGTTAGAGACAAGATGAAAAGAAAATAATCAAAACATCACGTTACGATCTTGTTCAACGTTTCATCCCCTTTTATTGAGACTTTTTTAGCAACTCGATCATCAATGTTCAAAATCTTTTAAGTACTACAATAAATATGTTAGTTTTAATAATTAATTACACTTAGCATAATTTAAATCGTAATTAAGAAATCAGTTTACAAAAAAAAATATGGGCGGAAGGGGGTTGGTTTGAGAAATATGCAAAAAAGAAAAAAAGAAGAAAATTTTTCGGAAATCGGAGGTAATTAAAAAACAAAACGCGTATTAACGTATACGTGTATTCAAATGGGGAAAATCAAAGTGACGTTTAAAGAATAAGAATGAGTGCGCGCTTATATATGTGTGTGTGTGTGTGTGTGACAGAGATAGAGAGACAGAGAAAGAGAGAGATATATCGGTGGTAACGGAATTAAGTATTACTGAATCTATGTGCAACAATTACGAACCATTTAATTAGAGGCGGAGGATTCCCATACCGCGCTCTGCAAGTGAGCGTAGCGATCTCACCTGCTCGGGCTGTCACGTTGCTGCCAGGTAAAATAGGATGGTTGTCGTACTCTATCTGTGGTCGCTGAGGGCTGACTGCAACGAGAAAATTAGCGGGGATTAATTCTACGTACGCGTGTATGCTTGGATCCATCCATTCCTCTGGATGGATGGTATAATAGTTCGTACGTGAGTATGTGTACGAATACGAATACGAGTACGATTATGAGTATGGGTATGAGTATGAGTATGAGTATGAGTGTGAGTATGAATGTGAGCATGAGCTTGCGCTCATGAGTGCTGCGTGCACCCAGGGATTTAGCGCATTGCGCATATCTCACTGTTCGTTGCGCACCACGCAGAATATCAGTTTGCCTATCTCTCTCTCTCTCTCTCTCTCTTTATTTATCTATCTATCTATCTATCTATCTATCTTCGTCTACTATCTATCTACCTCATACTGTTCATTCACGTGGCACGGATATTGTACATTGCCTCGTTATTATTACGTTATGTTTATCCACTCTGCTGTCTTGATCGTTCTCGCATTAAAATGAGAGAGAGAGAGAGAGAGTGGGAGAGAGAGTGGGAGAGGGAGAAACAACAGGAACAGTGGGGTGAGTTTATTTTCGTTCGAAGTATTATGTTGTTATACTGGATAAATTTTTAGCGAGACCGAGAATATGATTTTTCCCAAGCAGGCAGGCAGGCAGGCAGGTAGGTAGATATGGTTTAATTGTTTTTAATTTCCAAATTGGTTGGTTAGAATAGAAAATCTATGTGTGTCCTATCGTTAAATTATTTTGTTAGTTTATAATTACGTTCGTTTATTAAATCGTTAAATTATTCTCAATCAACGGTCGATCGGATTCGGGGGGTGGGGACGGGGAGTGGAGGGGGGAAAGGTGAAGCAACGTAAACGAGAATTTATTGTTTCAATTTGGACGAAATATAATAATGGAATCGGTATTTCCTTTTTTCTTTTTTTTTTCTTCTTTTTCTTTTTTCCTTTCATTTTTTTTTTTTTTTTATTTGACACAGAAATAATACCGACGATAAAATTCAATCAACGAAAATCTACACTAATACAGGAGTTACTCGGGTATATATTAATAATAATAATAATAATAATAATAATAATAATAATAATAATAATAATAATAATAATAATAATAATAACGGCAACAACTTCGTTGTTTCGGAAAATTATCACGATTTTAATTTGTATTATTTCTACAATTCAGTTTATTGTGAAATATTATCCGAAAGATTACTTCGTCGTATCTTCCTATTAATTCGTAATTAATATTAGATTAGATTCACATTAAAATCGGAATATTCGAATTATTATCTCGAACGTTTTAATTGACATTTAAATTAAACTAATTGCAAATTAGAATTTTGGATGAAAGATTTACGAGTAAACGAGTACGTTTAAAAATTTCACGTGACAGTTTTTCGGTCAAAAAAAAACAAAAAAACAAAAAAAAGAAAAAAAGAAGAAAAACAACATCTTATCGTATATTTTCGTTTTTACGTTTTTCTCGAGAAATAAATTTTCGTATTTATTTTTTCGCATATATAAGGTGAAGAAAAACAAAAAAAAAATAGAACAGAAACTTACCCCTGACGACCAGCCTAGCTTGTTCCGATGCTAGAGCGTCTTGCGTAGTAAAATCACTGGCGGTTACTTGGCACTGCCATAAACCGTCATCGAATTCCAAAATGGCCGACCTGACCCAGAGCGAGCAATCTCCCATGTCCGGTGAACCAACCCACTCGTACTTCTTCAAGTGCATTCCGATTGGCTAGGGACACACGAGTAATATGAAATCTTTAAAAAGTTATACATCCCATATGACGCATGACCAATCGTGATTTTTCACTTTTTTTTTCTTATTTATTTATTTGTTTATTATTCATCAACGTCACCACAATTCATTTCCCAAGACACTCGTTTATTTTAAATGAAATAAATTCTTCATTTTATTTTTGGCAAACGCGTTTAATATAGTAAGTAGTGTTCGACGAATAACAAATGCAATTCTCATAAATTCTTCTTCTTCTTTTATTTCTTTCTTTCCACCCTGCCTCCCCCCCTCCCATTCTCACCCTCCCCCACGCGGAAAAAACAGCGTATTAAATTTCAATATTTTAAAGCGAGAGCTCGACGTTTACGTGGAAATAAAAAAAAGGAAAAGAAAATATAAAAAAATAAAACGAAAACAAAAAAGAGAAAAGAATAACAACCCCGAGACGGGGAGAAGTGAAAGGAATGGAGATAAACCCCTTCTCCAAAAAAAAAAAAAAAAACAGAAATAAAGAAGGAAAACGCTTCATAAATTCAGCTTTTGCTAAAAAGAATTACATCCGAAAAAAATCCCGTGTTGTGGTGGTGGGTTTTCCCAACCCTCCCCCTCCCACCCACCGGACGAAAAACACATTCGCCGCAACAACAAACGATATGTATGGGGTATACGTACGTACACGTAGCGCGTGTCTATGGTGTTAAAGTCAACCGAAAACCGCAACGCATCGTACATTGTGTCGTACGTTGGTTGCCACCACACCACGTACGTTTACGTTATCAGCAATAATATATTTCGGAGAGAGAGAGAGAGATAGAGAGATAGAGAGAGTGAGAGAGAGAGAGAGAGAGAGAAGTGGTAACTGGTGCACCGTCAGCATTTAACAAGGGAAGTATCTTCGTTGTAATCGACGATGGGAGGGGGAGGGGTAGGGGTAGGAACGTTCGTCGATCGTTAAACGTAACCAGAATTCTCTGGTACATCTCTTCTAAACCCCTAACCTTAACCCCCACCCACCATCCCTAACCTCCAGCCCTTTTTTACAATCTCTTTCTATCTTTCGTTTTTGGTTGGTTGGTAGGAGAAAGCGTTTCCCTTGAAATGAATCATTGCTTCTATCTCTCTCTCTCTCTCTTTCTCTCATATTAAACCTCTCTTTCGTCTAATAACCCTCAGCCTCTTCTTTCTCGCAGATTAATTCGTTCCGAAGTAGGAAAGTGCGGTCTTAGCAAGTTTCGCAGTCATAATGTGGCCGTAATTCAAGGATCGATTTTGTCGGGTGCCCATATAATCCGACTCATCGGTTCCTTTCTACCCCATGTTCAATGAGTTATCGAGAGAATATATATTAGGGTGGTCCTTATTTACATCATTTTGCAAATTTTTCTTTTTCCCGCCTCCTAAGTATCATAATATGATACATGAATACGTGAAATGTGTGAATAAATGGAAAAATAAATTTTCTGTAAATTTGTAATTTTTAATTTTAATATTAATCTACAATTGTGTATATCTAACAAATTTCTAAAGTGTATTTTGTATGTTATACAAGACTTGAATATTCGAATAGCAAATGATGAAATTTTATCGTACATCTTTATAATAATTAATATAAATATAATTGTTAGAGTATTTCATAAGATTTCCCTCTTTTTTGTTTTCTTTTAACGAATAATTATAACTTTCCTTTTATTTGAATCATTTATTTTTCGAATAGTTAACATAATCTCGAATATGTCCTGATATTAATACAAATTTCAACGAGTTATTTTCCCAAAGAGTTATATCATTTGTGTTTTATTTTTTAAATTAATTTCTACGGGGTTAAAAGAGTAGAAAAATAAAAAAGAAAAAAAAGAAAAGGGGTCGTTTATTGTTGTTATATTCATTCCATCTTGTTGTTATATCGGTAACGAACGACTCTGAGTAACTGAGTGAGTGAGTGAGTGAGTTCCCTGAGGAGAGAAAACATAGGGGGTTTATCACTCGACGGCAGACACAATAATACAATGGGAAATCCTAGCGATGATTATTTGCGCGCAGATGAAGAAGGAAGGAAGGAAGGATGGAAGGATGGAAGGAAGGATGGAAGGAAGGATGGAAGGAAAGAAGGAAAAGGGCCACCGGCGGCGTTGGTTGTTCTATGCACTCAGGAATGAGAATAATGAGTTGCTTTTCTCGTTGATGCTCGAGGAACGAACGAACGAATGAACGAACGAGAACTAACGGTCGGTTCAAGCGGTACCATCACCTAACTGTTATACTAGGTATATAAGTATGTAACCTGCATTAGCATTTTTTATACTTGCTTATGCGAAAGAATAAACTATGCAACATGTATCGTCGACTTCATCGAGTGCAGCAAAGTGCATTGAGTTATTCGAGTACTCCTACGAACCTTTCTTTGCAGGAAGAATCTTAATGTTAGGAAAAAAAAATAAATGAAAAACTAAATTCACTCTAATGCAAACGTAAAGATGTATACTTAAGTCAGGATTTTTATTTTACCGTATGATAAAATAACTCACTTGGGAATTTTGATTTATCATTAATGTTATATAATATATATGTAGGATTTGGTTTTGGGGAAGAGGTATTGATTAACTTACACCCAAAGTCAATTCTACTTAAAATAATATATTTAATATGGATATATAGGATAGAGCCTTATAATTATGCTTCACAAAGGTCTTTAAGTCACGTGATACACTCCCTCTATCAACCGATTGTGCAACTAATAACTGACACACTTACTCTCTATCAACTGTTTATAACAACTCTCCGTAATAATAATAACAATAATCATGATCAGTAACCGATACCTCCCAATATATACAATAGTCCCCACCATGCCCCTACTTGCTTTCTCACGTCTTCTAGAACATTCGATTATTTCTTATTCCTACATATATATATTATTATTATTATATATATTATATAATAATTATATAATATATTATTCTATATTCTTATATATATTATTAATAATTATTTAATATATTATTCTATATTCTTATATATATATTATTATATATATTATATAATAATTATATAATATATTATTCTATATATATATAATTATTCGGAAATTTTATTCGTAAAAGGGGATTCGCCTAACACACGTACGCGTGCAACAATACTTCCTCCTGAGTTGACAATAGAGAAATCGGTATACAGTCGCACGCTCGTTGCATCGCAAATTAACCCTTATATGGGTCGTTCGTACATTCCTACGACCCCTATATGTAACGTTAGTTTCTCGATAAGGACCCCTATGTGAAATGTTTGTATGTTTGTTTGCTTGTTTGTTATTAACTAATACATTAGAGATCGTGCCACTTTCTGTTCAATCATATTATCCTATTAGAAATCTGAAATTCTGACAAATCGGTTCAATATTTCCCATCAATCGTATTTTCAATCGGGATCGTATGATACGCGAAAATCTTTCTTACCTCCTGACAACTTATATTATTCTATTAGATATCTTAAAAGTTCTGACAAGAATCGTGTCAATAACAATGACATCTTTTGAATATTATCTCATAATTAGATTTAAAAGAACAATTTTTAATCAAATATTTGATTT